GAGAAACCTTGTCTTAAAAAACAAACAAATAAAAAAGGATTCTATTCTGCAGTAGCTGTACTTGTTACTTTTAAAGACCTACACACACACTATTTATTTTTTCAAGACATGATTTTTCTGTGTAACAGTCCTGGCTGTCCTGGAACTCACTTGATAGATCAGGCTGGTTTCGAACACAGAGATCCACGTGCCTCTGCCTCCCGAGTGCTGGAATTAAAGACGTGTGACACCACCACAGGGCTTAAAGACCCATTTTTAATTGAGTTAGATTAAGCAGAAGATCTCAGTGAGGACAGCCTGCATCTCCTGTGGATCCGTTCCTGGCATTTTTACCCCCTTGGGCTTCCTTCATTCTCTTGACCAAAGGTTTAAGACGTTCTGCAGCATAGGGCTCATTTTCCTCAGTGCATTCTTTCTCCAGAGCAGCACTTTCGGTGTCTGTGTTGAAAGATGCATGAAGTAACGGGATGCTGAATCTTGCGTGTGTTGGTAATAGGCCTCTCACCCTCTTTATTTATGTTCCAACAACATATCGGCCAACCTCATCAGCTTCTTCAGAAAGATGGAAAAGCTGTCAGATTCTGCCAACCTTTTGGGCCCCACCCACTGAGACAGTAGTATCTGCCAGTGCAGGAACCTCCTTGTCTCCTTTGCCTATAATAGCCAAGTTGTGGACACCCAGATTGGCATCCACAATGCATCTTTGAACAGACTTACTTGGACTTCCTCTGCCCAGTTTTCATGGTCTGCAACAAGAACGTCCCTTACACAACAGCAGGCACACTCTGCTGTGGGTCCAGACATCTTGCTTCGTGGGACAGCCTTGTTTGTCCTTCCCACCACTGATTCCGACCACGAAGCCCTTCCACTATTCACCCTTAGCATCAGCAGCTACTTCTGTGCCCTTCTCATGGGAAGTGCGAAGCTTGCATTCATCATCCACTTCCAAGAGTTCCTGACAGCTGGTGGCTGGGAAGGAGATATTCCCACGGCCAGGAGGTACCTAGGAAGTGCCATGAAAAAGAACCAATAAATGTATTTTAATGTAGACCTTAAGCAGGAGGATCAAGAGAGGTGCCAAGAAAAAGAGAAAGATGAACGTTAAGAAAGAAAGACAAGCCTGGCGGTGGTGACACCTTCAATCCCAGCACTCAGGAGGCAGAGGCAGGAAGATATCTTTGTGCAAGGCCAGTCTGGTCTACAGAGTGAGTTCCAGGACAGCCANGAAAGAAAGTATACCAAGAGCATGAGTGTGGGCTTGTCACACTTTGTCGTCTTTACAAATAGCTGTATACATTACTGGGATGAGTTTTAAAGGTATTAGCCTCAAAAGTGTTGCTTAGGAACTTAAATGAGATCAGTTTACAATTGTTAAGTGAATCTAGAACACAGGGGTGCAGGAAAGAAGGACCTCTCTGTAAACATGTTAACAAGCTGAGACTCCCAGAGACTGCCTGGGAGAGGATGGGGTTCTCTTCAAGGTCGCACATTTCCTTGCCTTAAACTTGGATCATTACTACCTTGATGCTGCTCTTCCAGAGGACTCGGGTTCACAACCTTCTGTAACGTCAGTTACAGGGTACCGATACCCTCTGCAGGCGTCTTTATTAACTTTTGCCAATCTGTGCAGATCTGTGTCTGCAGGACCTGGGATCTAAGAGCCAGCAAGAATGAGGCAGACTAGTCTAATGTTATAGACAAGCTTACTTCCATTTCAGTATACTTTTATACGTGAATGTAACAAAGAAAGCAGTGAACCAAGTCCACCCACAGCCCCCTCTAAACTGAATAGGAAACCACCTCTCAGGCTGCATTTGTGCAGAACCTGGGACCTGGGACCCGGGGCGACTGGAACCCAAGTTCCATCCTCGGCGAATTGGAGCAGTCCTAACTTCCGACCCGCGGTCACACACCATTGCAGGTATGCTTGTCGCAGCAGCCGGACAGGGCCCAAAGTCTGCTGGGTGTTCTTGACATTGTGTGTCTCCCTTTCCCAATACTCAGGCCCCTCCTGCTCCATCCACAGCACCCTCGGCCCCATCCTGGAGATCTCCTGAAGCTGTTGGAGCACACAGATTGTGTGTCTTCCTCACAGCTGACAAATGAACCACGGTTGCTGGAGGCCAGGCGGGGGACCCTGCAGTGTAGAAATGGCTCAGCTAGCGTGAGCCTCAGGAGACAAGCTGTGAGACCCCCGAACGTCCCCCACTTTCCCCAGCTCAGGATCCCAGGTGAAGGCAGGGGAGACATTGACCAGGGCAACCGAGTTATGTTGACTGGGTACTGCCCCCACCCGGAGCCCTGTTCTCTCTGGCAGAGTCCTTTTCACTCCCCGCTAGCTTGGGTCTTGACAGCAGCTTGTGCCAGGAAGCAGAAGAGTGTGGACGCGATTCCTGTGGATTGTTGTCCTTTGGAACCTCTATGTGACTGACTGGTTTCTCTAGAAATTGAGAGTGCAACATTTATGTCCAGGGAGAACACGGTCAGGGTTGAGACTGTGCCTGTGGAAAACCAGTGCTGGCATCGTTCTGGCGCTGTTAGTGAAGAAAAATGCAGGGCTGGAGAGATGGCTCAGTGGTTAAGAGAACTGGCTGCTCATGCATAGGACCCGGGTTCAATTCCTTGCACCCACATGGCAGCTCATTCCTGCCTGCAATTCCAGTTTCAGAGTATCCCACACCCTCACACACAGATATACATGCAGGCAAAACTCTAATGCACATGAAATAATAAAAAAAAAATTAAAAAGAAAATGCTGTAAGAGCCGTTCTATGACCTGGGACTTGAACGGAACCCATGTCTTCTGACTGTTGGACCTCTTGGCCACATTGCTTCTCTGAGCCTTGAGGTAGAGTCTATGTAGGTTTTGGTTCTTTAATTTATTTTTAAGTTATGTTTGTGTGTTTTTGAGTGTGAATATATAGGTGCGGTGCCCAGGGAAGACAGATTTTCTGGAGCTGGAGTTACCTGTGGTTGTAAGCGCGCCATGAGAGTGCTGGGAACCAGCTGCGGGTTCTTTGTAAGACCTAGGAATGCGCTCTTGAGAGCTAAGCCATCTCTTCCTTCCGTGGGAGGATTCTTTTTAATACTTTGTCCCGTGTAATATTAGAAATTACACTACTACTATACAAGTGGTACTTATGAGATGGCTAATGATAACGTGACTCCATCATTGAATGTTTCTGTTCTGCTGTATTAAAACCACAGCGTCTGAACTCAGCAATTAGAGCAGCTCACACCTGCCTGTAACTCCAGTTCCAGGACTTCTGTCTCCTTCTTCTGGCCTTACACATACTACAGGCATGTGATAGACTTGGCCTCCATGCAGGTAAAATACACAAAATAAAATTTAAAACAGAGAGAGAGAGAGAGAGAGAGAGAGAGAGAGAGAGAGAGAGAGAGAGAGAGAGAGAGAGGAGACTTAGCTTTATTGAGTCAAGACAAAGTCTCAATTCCTTAGAAGTGGCTTTCAGATTCCGAGAGCATAAAGATGTGGTATGATTTGAAGCATACATTGGTGGTTTCAATCTTGCTCTCTCTTGCTTCCAGGTTCATCTACATGAGCAGGGGCAGAATCTCACAGCCTGCTGCTCCCAGGCTCATATCTGCTTCCCCGTTTTGCCACTGCCGCATCTTGCCATCCTGCCCCACCCCCAGCTCTTTTCATTGCTTCAGGCTACAGTGAGTACACTCGAGTTCAAGCACTTCGAGCCCCCCCCCCTCCCCCAGAGTCCTGAAGGTGGAGCTAGCAGAACGAGCTGGATCCCTGGGGACAGAATTTCAGAACCTACTCCACCTCTACATCCAGAGTCACGACGGTGAATGACTTCCGGGTCGGGGATCACGATCCCTCACGACCCAGAGCAGGGTCCCGAACTCCCCTGACCCCAGTGTTCGAGATTCCGCAGGAGGCTGTGGGTGTCTGAGTTTTGCTTTAGTTTGGGGACTGTTCCTGCGGTGGGCGGTATCGGGTTGGCCGGGCTGGGTACGGGCCAGGTTCCCACAGTATCCAGGACATTCACAGCTGCCCGAGAGTGAAGAGGACACGGTCCCCTTAAAGTCCTAGGACTGGAGTGACTTTTGACAGCATTTTCTTTATTAAAGACACCAGAACAATGCCAGGCACAGTTTTCCTTACACACAGTTCCTCTTTCAGCTTTAATCGAGTTCCTCTTTCCTGGCATAAATGATGAGTTCACAGCTCTCATTGGACACCGAGTTTCTAGAGAAACCAATCAGTGACACAGAGGTTCCAAGTAAAGCAGTTTACAGAAATCGCTTCTACACCCTTCACAGGCTCCTGTGCAGAGGACCATGTCTTCTTCTTCCTGGCTCAAGCTGTTGGCAGGCGCCATACTTCTGTTCCAAACACAGGCTAGTGAGTAAGAGGTGGGGAGACTGCGGGATGGAGCAGCGAGGCGGGTGGGGGCAGTACCCAATAAACGCATCTTACTGCCCTAGCCCATGTCTCCCCTGCCTTCACCTGGGACCCTGGTCCCGGGAGGAGGTCGGGGTCTCACCGCTGGACTCCCCCAGGATCGCACTCGCTGCGGTATTTCTATACCGCCGTGTCCCGGCTCGGACTCGGGGAGCCCCGGTTCATCGCCGTCGGCTACGTGGACGACCAGCAGTTCGTGCGCTATGACAGCGACACGGAGACTTCGAGGGTGGAGCCGCGGGCTCCGTGGATGGAGCAGGAGGGGCCGGAGTATTGGGAGAAGGAGACGCGGAAAGCCAGGAACACGGGGAAGAACTTCAAATTGAACCTCAAGACCCTGCTTGGCTACTACAATCAGAGTGACAACCGTGAGTGACCGCAGCCTTGATCCCAGACACGACCCCTCCATCTCCCTTGAGACAGGCTTGGGTCATCTTCACCTGCTGAGCGATAGTTTCATCCAAACACGCGCCCAGACCCTCTAACAGGAAAGACTCCGCAGAGTTTGGCTCAGATTTCGGTGGCCCTTTTTTCTGAAAGATCGGGTTAAGGACGCAATGACAGCAGGCAGGGTGGCCGCAAGGCGGCGCTAACCTCTGTGTCCCCACCAGAACCTCACACTCTGCAGTGGATGTATGGCTGTGACATGGGTCCAGATAAAAGCCTGCTCCGTGGGTATTGTCAGGAGGCCTACGATGGCCGGGATTATATCTCCCTGAACGAGGACCTGCGCTCCTGGACCTCAACTGATGCGGCCTCTCAGATCTCTAAGCGCAAGTTAGAGAACATGAACGAGGCCGACCACCAGAGAGCATACCTGCAGGGCCCCTGCATAGACAGCCTCAAAAGATACCTGCAGCTGGGGAACGCGACCCTGCTGTGCTCAGGTACCTGGAGACCCATCCTCGCTTTACCTCGGTAGTGTGGGAGAAAGGCTCTGGGCATCCTCAGAGGAAGAACACTGTCCAGCAGGCACCGGGCTGAGGAATAAGGACAGGGAGACTCCAGGCTGCTTTTCCCATTGGGAGACTAACCCTTGTACAGCAGGTCAGCCTTGATGATGGCCTTGGACCACAGGAGCTTTTTCTCTCAGGCCTCCTTCTGTGCCCCACACACGGTGTCTTTGGAGTCTGACTCCAGATTTTCTGAGTCTCCTGGCCCTCACTCAGCTCAGGACCAGAATCCCTTCCCCTCCATCAGTCTGCAGAGCCCTGAAGCCTCCTACCCCAAATTGTCACTCACATCTTAGAGCATCCCCAAGAGCACATGACCCCGGGACCTGAGCTCTAGCTGGGGTCTACTAATATCAGGACACCCTAATCCCACCCCAGTTCCCCTGTCCATTCCCAGACTGGTCACATGGACACTGTTGAGTCCCCAGAAGAAAGCAAGATGTCTCATCTTCACAACTCTTTTCCTCAGATCCCCCAAAGGCACATGTGGCCCATCATCCTGGACCTAAAGGTGATGTCACCCTGAGGTGCTGGGCCATGGGCTTCTACCCGGCTGACATCACCCTGATCTGGCAGAGGGATGAGGAGGAGCAGACGCAGGACTTGGAGCTGGTGGAGACCAGACCTTCTGGGGATGGAACCTTCCAGAAGTGGGCATCTCTGGTGGTGCCTTCTGGAGAAGAGCAGAGATACACATGCCATGTGTACCATGAGGGGCTGCCTGAGCCCCTCACCCTGAGATGTGGTAAGGAGGAAGTGGGTGCAGAGGCTGGGGTCAGGGAAAGCTGGAGCCTTCTGCAGACACTCAGCAGGGTCAGGGCTGAAAGCTGGATCATGACCGTCACCTTCCCTACCTGTCCCTCCCTTCCCAGAGCCTCCTCAGTCCACGGTCCCCATCATGGCAGTCATTGCTGTTCTGGTTCTCCTTGGAGCTGTGGTCACTGGAGCTGTGGTGGCTGTGGTGATGAAGAGGATGAGAACCAAAGGTAGGAAAGGGCAGGGTCTGAGTTCTCTCTCAGCCACTTTTAGAAGTGTGCTCTGCCTCGTTAATGGGAAACACATCAACATCCCTCATTGCTGCTGTTTCTAACCTGGGTCTGCTGTCAGTTCTGGAAACTTCCTAGAGTTGGTGACTTCCCTGGTGTCTCACAGCTTTTCTTCTCACAGGCGGAAAAGGAGGGAACTATGCTCATGTTTTAGGTAAGTTTGGGGAGCAGGATTGTCCCTGAAACCCTTGGTGTGGAGTTGAGCTAGTGGGGAGCCCAGCCAGCTCCCAATTCCTCCTTCAGCCTCACCCTCTCAGTCTCCTGAATGTGCCTTGTCCTTTCTTCTTCCGCAGGCAGCAACAGTGTCCAGAGCTCTGTCTTGTCTCTGGAGGCTTGAAAAGGTGACACCCTGGGGACCTTGTGTTGGGGTGAGACAAGGAGGAGAGGACTGGGACCCAGGGATTCTCAGGATTCAGACATTTGAACGAGTCACAGCAGGCCTTTGAGATGTCTTTTTATATTCACTGTTCATGACTCTTAGTTCCTAGCTTCAGACTGCTGCCTCACGGGGACATGTTCTGATTCAAGAATCAACAAATCTCTGAAGCTGTCTGCTTTCTCCTGTGGAAACAATGTGAAGAACTGGGGAGCCCACCTCACCCCTGCACACCTGGATCCTGTCCCTGCACTGCCCTGTGCTTTCTTCCCAGCCAATTTCCTTGTCCAGCCAGGCAGGAAGTCACATTACCATCCTGTCACCTCCATGCTGCCCCGAGCTGCAGCCCGTGACCTCCCCACTGAAAATAAGAATCTGAATGTGAACTTAATTCTTCATGTGTCCTTGACATGGGACATTAGCACGTCAACCTAAAGGAGAAAATTCTGAGAGTGTGAGGGAGAAAATAAATGGCAGCATGGAGAACCTTCCAGGATCTGTGTTTGCTGTGCTGAGTGTTGGGGGGAGGGGCAGGAGGAGTCTGTGGGAGCTGAGTGAGGACAGGCTGTGCCAGGTGGCGCTCAGCCATGTGGTGTGCTCACTCCTCAGCTATGTCCTCCTTGGGTCTTCTGTCCTTGTCACTTAGTACAACCACATGGTGACAGAGCCTGGTCACAGGGACACAGGGATGGGCACAGACCTGTCCGTGTCCAGGATTATGAGAAACAGGGCTGCTCTGACAGGTTACCCTGAACTCAGTGCTGGTCACAGAGACACAGGGATGGGGATGGGCACAGCCCTGTCCGTGTCCAGGACTATGAGCAACAGGGCTGCTCTGACAGGTTACCCTGATCCATGTTGAGAACCTGTGGATCAGTCCTCTCTGCTGATCCTACAGACAGGAGTTAGATTCTGAAAGATGGGGAGGGGAGAAACTCCTGGCAACAGCCCTGGAAGGAGGCAGGAGCTCAGGAGACTGAAGCTCAAGTTCTCATCCCACAGGCTCCTCAGTGCAGGGGCCTAGGTGGACCTTGGGGGGACAAGAATGGAAAACACCTCCTACTGCTATCACTCAGGGACCCCAAACGAGGATGAGACAGACACCACTCACAGGAACAAGAACAGTTCCTCCACACTAACTAAAAAGAGAAGATATAGGGCTGAGTGATGGCTCAGAGGTTCAGAACACTGACTGTTCTTCCAAAGGTCCTGAGTTCAATTCCCAGCAACCACATGGTGGTTCATAACCATCTGTAATAAGATCTGATGCCCTCTTCTGGCCTGCAGGGATACATGCAGGCAGATGCTGTATAAATAAATAATAAATAAATCTTAAAAAAAAAAAAAAAAGACAAGAAATAAACACAGAAGACAGGGGGAAGAGCCACAGCGGCCCTGAGTTCAGGTAACCTGTCAGAGCAGCCCTGTTGCTCATAGTCTGGACGCGGACAGGGCTATGCTCATCCCTGTGTCCCTATGGCCAGGCCCTGTCACCATCTGGTTGTACTAAGTGACAGGACAGAAGACCCAAGAAGGACATAGCTGAGGAGTGAGCACACCACATGGCTGAGCACCACCTGGTACAGCCCCATCCTCACTCAGCTCCCACAGACTCCTCCTGTCCCCCACCATGACACTCAGCACAGCTAACACAGATTCTGGAAGGTTCTCCATGCTGCCATTTATTTTCTCCATCTGAAAGACCCGCCGAGCAGGGAGGCTCTCACTTAAGACTTGGGATAACACGTCTACCCAGGAACTCACGAGAGATGTCCTTGCTACAATCACACGAGGTTTATTGACAGGACAGGAGCCAGTGCACTGGGGCCGAAACTCATTTCCCATGCAGGGGTAGAGAGTTTGACCCCGAGTAGCTGGGAGAAGCAAGGTTTAAGGGAAAAACCATAACACAGTAATCCAAAGGGGGCAGGGAGGGCGTCATTGGAAAATTCTGAAAATACCAGTGATCACTGAAAAATTTCAAAAATAACAGTGATAATCACAAGGGGGTAACTCCCTGTTTCTCAAGATTATAATCTAACTTTATCTTCAGCTAGTTCCTAAAACAGAGTCACTGAACCAGTTAATCTAGATTTTTGGTGCTTCTCTCCCTGCTTAGATTTTTTGGCTCTATTTTTTCTGCTAGAGGGGTCAGGATTTATCCAGGGCTTTCTTTGGGAATACCTAGAGTTATCCAGGTCTTTCATCTCCCCACTTCTTCTAGTACCTAGTTCTAATCATAGAACTAGATTTCAATATCTTTTTGACCTTGTAATGCGCTATATTTGTGGCATAACATCAAAATCTGAACAGCACTTATTCTTTCTCTAATGAAAGTAATTAGTTTTAATTCGTTAAAGTACTGAGGGACCTGTGTTAGGGCAGTGGTACCTGTCCCAACACCGGCAGCTCCCCCGAGGCCCAGGATTACTGCTAATTTCAGAGAAATAGGTTCTCATCAAAAGCAAGTTGGGTGCTTGTCAAACTCATCTTCAAGCGTGTTAGCTGGATGATAAAAGACCCTAGGTACCAGTTGTACAAGCAATCTTTGGTGTCATTAAAAACCGATGCTGACACGCATGGTGTCAGGCCTGTATTACAAGCCCACTGTTTATCTAAACCAGGAACCAAATACCTGGTGTCAGGAGTCTTAGGGCTCTTAAGAGTCTCATTACATAACCTCGGTAAGAGTCAGCCTATGATTAGTCCCCCAAACACAAGCCTCCTGACTGGTAGTGTTGTCAAAGTCCCAGATACTTCAATTTGGGTAGTTTAGGAGCTCGCTTCACCTGGGAGGCATGGATCCAGGCAGATATGTATACTTCTTTCAGTTGTTCCCAGGTCTGGCGTCTCACCGTTTCAAGGGCCTTTAGGAGGAAAAAAATAAAGGTCTAGAAAGAATAGCATCGGGATTATACATTCCACCCGACTCAGTGAGTGGTGGTGGTCCCCTACATAGGATCTCATAAGGGGTGTTCCGAACCCAGAACAGAGCAAAGGGAAGGAGGGCTGTCCAGTCATTCCACCAATTTTGTAAAGGTCTCTTTTAGAACTCTATTCATCCTTTCTACCTGACCTGACTCTGGTCAGTAAGCCCAATGTCATTTCCAATTGATCCCTAGTGGGGTGGCCAGTCCCTGACTTACCTGGGCAACAAAGACAGGTCCATTATCAGACCTGATTACCTTGGGTATCCCAAACCTCAGGAAGATTTCTTCTATGACCTTAGCCACCCCATTGGCCGTCTCAGTCCTGGTAGGAAAAGCTTCTTCTACCCAGCCTGAAAAAGTAACTATAAAAACTAATAAGTACTTGTTACCATATCTGGCTGGCTAATTTCTGTAAAATCTACCTCCCAGTAGGCCCCAGGCCAGTCGCCCCTGAGCCCCTTCCCAGGAGCATATATGGAGTGTCCTGCATTAGTCATAGCACAGGACTTGCAGCTTTTGACTTCTTCTGCCAAGTCAGAGAGTCCCGTAACATACTAGTCGGAGGACCTAACCACATCTTTTAGTTTCCTGGCCCCCAAGGGGGTCAGGTAATGTAAGTTGGTAACACACTTGTGCCCTTCTTTTCGTGGGAGGACTAGTTTTCCTCCTCTGTCTCTACTGCCCCGTATGGGGTTTTCTTTACCAGTCCTAATTTGCCCATAACTTGATGGTCCTCAGGTTGTATCTAAAGTTGGTTTCACTGATATCATGATAATGTTTAGGCTCTTTGACTGCCAGGATTATTGCTCCTTGGGACACCTGTTTAGTGGTTAGGTCTGCCATCTGATTTCCTTTAGCCACAGCATCTCGAACTTCTTGGTGTCCTGGACAGTGTATGATGGCTACCTTCTTTGGCAAAAGTATGGCCACAAGGAGGCTCAAAATTACTTCTTTACTTTTTATGTCTTTTCCTGCAGATTTTTCTTTTTCGAGACAGGGTTTCTCTGTGGTTTTGGAGCCTGTCCTGGAACTAGCTCTTGTAGACCAGGCTGGTCTCGAACTCACAGAGATCCGCCTGCCTCTGCCTCCCAAGTGCTGGGATTAAAGGCGTGTGCCACCACCACCCGGCTTTTTTTGTTTGTTTGTTTTTCAAGACAGGGTTTCTCTGTGATTTTGGAGCCTGTCCTGGAACTAGCTCTTATAGACCAGGCTGGTCTGAACTCACAGAGATCCACCTGCCTCTGCCTCCCGAGTGCTGGGATTAAAGGCGTGCGCCACCACCGCTCGGCTCCTGCAGATGTTAACAGTCCTCTCTGTCTGTATATTGCTCCGTGTATATGGACAGTGGCAGATGTACACCTGCTGTCAGTGTAGATGTTGATAGACTTCCCCTCTGCCATCCGTAGAGCTGGTATCAAAGCCACGAGTTTGGCTTTCTGGGCCGACATCCTTCAGGGAGGCTACTGTCCCAGATTACTTGCTTCCCATCCACCACTGCTGCCCCCGCCTTCCGCTTACCTTCGGACTCCCAGGCCAAGGCTGATCCTTCAGATCATTTCAGATACCAGCTTCTTCTGCCAAAATGTCAGTGCAGTGATGGGTAGGTGAGGAGTCATCAGATCGGGCAGTAGGGCAGCGGGATTGAGAACAGCAGGGGGAGCGAAGGTCACTGGTTCAGTCAACAAAAGGCTTTGATCACCTCCGGCCTGGTTCAAGTAAGCCTGACCTGGGCCTTCAACTTTGTTAACAAGTCTCTTTCTAATAAAGGTGTGGGACACTCAGGGATAACCAGGAAGGAATTTGTCCTCTCCCCAAATCTACAGTTCGTAAGGTGGTCCACGGATATTGTTTCTGTCCAGTTGCTCCAATAACTATAGTCTTTGTATTCTTTAGCTTCGCCAGTGGTTGTTTCAGCACAGAGTACTCAGCCCCTGTGTCCACTAGAAAACCCATAGGGGTCCCCTCCACAGTCAGGGTTACCCTAGGTGCAGGGAAGGGGGTCCGAGCCCCATCCCCCTAATCATCTTCTTCTGGGGCCAGTACCTTCGAGGCCCTTCCTTTCTCCTTTGGGCATTCTCTTGCCCAATGTCCTTTTCTTTGCAATAAGCACATCGGTCTTTGTCCAAGAGGTGCCTCTGTCCATCTTCACTCATCTTTGGTCTTCTGTTGCCCAGGTTCTATCTGTCTAGGCCCTGTCTTTCCTTTCTCTCCTACCACTGCGGCCAAAATTCAGTCAAATTTCTCTAGTCTACAATCCCTCCGGTCCTCTCTTCTGCCTCCCGCCTCTCTCTCTCTCTCTCTCTCTCTCTCTCTCTCTCTCTCTCTCTCTNTCTCTTCCTCAGTCTCTCACTTACGAAACACTTTCTCTGCCTCCTTAACCAAATCCTGCAAGATATAATCCTGCAACCCTTCTAACTGCTGTAACTTTTAATATCTGATGCTGACTCTCCTATGAAGGCCATAGCTACTGCTGCTTGCTGACCCTCAGAGGTTGGGTCAAAGGGAGTATAACGCCTGTAAGCCTCCTTTAAATGTTCAAGAAACACAGATGGTGGTTCAACCAGCCCCTGAGACCTGCCACGAGAACCCTGCGGGGATAGACTGTCAGCAGCTCCCTACCTGGTTTAAGTTAGACCTTGAAAACATACACAGGGAACTAGATACGGCCCATTTCTGTTTACACATTTTTTTTTTTTTACCAAAAATCTCTCTTGCTTTTTAGACAACACACCAAAAATTTCCCTTGCTTTTTAAACAACATACCAAAAATCTCTCTTGCCTTTTAGACAACATAAACTCTTACCAAAGTCTTTTTTGTGTTTTTTTTTCTCAGTGGAGATATATGGCTACATTTTAAACAAGAACAGCACTTAAAATCCTGTGCCAGTGTGAAACATTTGAGACCAGCAATGGTTTTTTTTTTTAACACTAACCAACAATGATTTGTAAACAACAGCACATAAAATCCTGTACCAGTGTGAAACATTTGAGACCAGCAATGTTTTTTTTTAACACTAATCAACAATAATTTGTAAACAACAGCACATAAAATCCTGTACCAGTGTGAAACATTTGAGACCAGCAATGGGTATTTTTTTAACATTAACCAACAATAATTTGTAACCAGTTCCTATAAATGATGACAGATACTTATAATACTTATAAACCATAGGATCTGAAAGAGTTCTTCACCCATGGAGACAAGCCTTGGTCAGCTTTGACGAGAGGTTTGAGGCGTGCAGCTCCCAGGGCAGGTGGCTGGAACTTGTCCATCAGCACAGGGGGGTGGGGGGCAGGGTGGTACGCAGCACTGGGGAAAACAGATTGTTAACCACTACAGCCCATAGCGATTACCCTCAGATTTATTGTTTAGTGTTGGAAATCCTATTGGGGTACATCTGCCTTCTACAACTGTGTTTGGAAGCCTCAATACCTTGTAACAGCAAGGCTGAATAGCCCAGCCAGCCATACAAGCATGCTGCCTGCAGCCACATGCTTGGGGCCGAGGCTGACTTTTTTTAATGAAATATACCCCTATGCTTATGGCCCTATCTCTGAAGTCTTGTAAGTGGTCACATTATCAAAGTCAAAAGAAGTCATGATTTGAGTACATGATGGCGCCAAAAAAACCAACAACACAGCTTCAAGCTGCTTTGTGGGTGTGACCTGTCCTGCTATCGAAATGAGACCGCCATCCACGCATGTCTCTACAGAGAACTGACCACGCCACTCAAGTGTCATACCACAGAACTGAGAAACACCACCGCGTATCTCACCAGAGAACTGAACATGCTACCTGTGCTTAAGACAAAACAGAGACCGAAGATACACAGACAAAGACTAACAAAACTTAAAAAGACAAAACCACTGATCCAGAGTCAAGGTCATAGTCTGTCCCAATCCTCAAAGTCACAAGCAAGATAAAATAAAAGACCGACTGAAGACACACAAGACACACAAACAAACAAATGTCCATCTTCACCGAGACAGACAAAACCATCCCAGAAATACAGACAGTCGAGAGGGCATACAGTTCCTCCAATCCAGAACTTCCATATCCTCACCAGCACCCAGATGGGAATCTCCCAGGCATCCCTGGGTCCCTCAACTCCACCCCAGGAGTTTCAGGGATAATTCTGTCCCCCCCCCCAATACTAACCTACAATGTGATCATAGCCTCCTTTTCCATGTGTGAGAAGAAAAGCTATGAGAAACCAGGGAAGACCCTAGGAAGTTTCCAGAACTGACAGCAGACCCAGGGTAGAGAGAGCAGCCACCAGGGGTGTGGATGTGTTTCTTATTAATAAGGCAGAGACACTTCTAAAAGGGGCTGAAGAGAACTCAGACCCTGCCCTTTCCTACCTGTGTTTCTCCTCCTCTTCCTCACAACAGCCACCACAGCTCCAATGATCACAGCTCCAAGGAGAACCAGACCAGCAATGACTGCCATGATGGGGACCGTGGACTGAGGAGGCTCTGGGAAGGGAAGGACAGGAAGGGAAGGTGAGGGTCATGACCCCAGCTCTCAGCCCTGACCCTGCTCAGGGTCTGTAAAAGGCTCCAGCTTTCCCTGACCCCAGCTCTGCACCCTCTCCCTCCTTACCCCATCTCAGGGTCAGGGGTTCCCTAAGCCCCTCATGGTACACATGACATGTGTATTTGTGCTCCTCCCCAGAAGGCACCACCAGAGATGCCCACTTCTGGAAGGTTCCATCCCCAGAAGGTCTGGTCTCCACCAGCTCCATGTCCTGAGTCTGTTCCTCCTCCTCCCTCTGCCAGGTCAGGGTGATGTCAGCAGGGTAGAAGCCCATGGCCCAGCACCTCAGGGTGACATCACCTTTAGGTCCAGGATGATGGGTCACATGTGCCTTTGGCGGGTCTGAGGAAAAGAGTTGTGAAGATGAAACATCTTGCTTTCTTCTGGGGACTCAGCAGTGTTCATGTGGCCATTCTGGGAATGGACAGGGGAACTGGGGTGGGATTAGGGTGTCCTGATATTAGTAGACCCCAGCTAGAGCTCAGGCCCCGGGGTCATGTGCTCTTGGGGATGCTCTAAGATGTGAGTGACAGTTTGGGGTAGGAGGCTTCAGGGCTCTGCAGACTGATGGAGGGGAAGGGATTCTGGTCCTGAGCTGAGTGAGGGCCAGGAGACTCAGAAAAGCTGGAGTCAGACTCCAGAGACACTGAGTGTGGGACACAGAAGGAGGCCTGAGAGAAAAAGCTCCTGTGGTCCAGGGCCATCATCAAGGCTGACCTGCTGTAAAAGGGTTAATCTCCCAATGGGAAAAGCAGCCTGGAGTTTCCCTGTCCTTATTCCTCAGCCCGGTGCCTGCTAGAGAGTGTTCTTCCTCTGAGAATACCCAAGCCTTTCTCCCACACTACCGAGGTAAAGCGAGGATGGGTCTCCACGTACCTGAGCGCAGCAGGGTTGCGTTCCCCAGCTGCAGGTATCTATTGAGGCTGTCTATGCAGGGGCCCTGCAGATATGCTCTCTGGTGGTCGGCCTCCTCTGCCTTCTCTGACTTGCGCTTAGAGATCTGAGAGGCCGCGTCATTTGCGGTCCAGGATTTCAGGTCCTCATTCAGGGAGATGTAATCCCGGCCATCGTAGGCCTCCTGACAGTACCCGCGGAGCAGGCGTCCATCTGGACCCAGGTCACAGCTATACATCCACTGCAGAGTGTGAGGTTCTGGTGGGACACAGTGGTTAGCGCCACCTTGCGGCCACCCTGCCCGCTGTCAGTCTGTCCTTAACCCGACCTTTCAGAAACAAAAGTGCAACCTAAACCTGAGCCAAATTCTGCTGGGGTCCTTTCTGTTAGAGGCTATGGGAAGGTATTTGGATGAAGATGACCCAAGCCTGATTCAGGGGAGATGAAGGGGTCGTGTCTGTGATTGGGGTCGCGGTCACTCACCGTGGTCACTCTGATTGTAGTAGCCACGCAGGGTCTGGAGATTCAATTTGAAGATCTTCCCCAAGTTCCTGGCTTTCCGTGTCTCCTCCTCCCAATACTCCGGCCCCTCCTGCGCCATCCACGGCACCCGCGGCTCCATCCTCGGAGTCTCCGCGTCGCTGTCGTAGCGCACGAACTGCGTGTCGTCCACGTAGCCGACTACGATGAACCGCGGCTCCCCGAGGCCGGGCCGGGACACCGCGGTGTGGAAATACCGCAGGGAGTGCGAGCCTGGGGGCGGCGCGCGGTGAGACCCCGACCTTCCTACCGGGACCAGGGTCCCAGGTGAAGGCAGGGGAGATAGGGGCTAGGGAAGTAAGAAGCGTTTACCGGGTACTTGCCCTCACCCGGCTCCCTGCTCCGTCCCGCAGAGTCTCCCCACCCCTCACTCACCAGCCTGCGTCTGGAGCCTGCTCGCCAACAGCTTGAACCGGGAAGCAGAAGACATGGTCTTTAGCACAGGGGCCTGTGAAGGGTGTAAAGGCGATTCCTGTAAACTAATTTACTTGAAACCTCTGTGCCACTGATTGGTTTCTCTAGAAACTCGGTGTTCAATTAGAACTGTGAGTTCATCATTTGTTCCTTAGAGAAAGGAACCCGACCGGAGTTGAAAGTGGAGTTGTGTATATCGAAAACATTGCCAGGCAATGTTCTGACGTCTTTAATAAAGAAAATGCTGTCAAAAGTCACTGCATGACCTAGGACTATAACCGGACCCGTGTCCTCTTCAGGATACTGTGGGCACCTGGCCCCGTACCCAGCCCGGCCAACCCGATACCGCCCACCCGCAGGAACAGTCCCCAAACCTAAAGCAAAACTCTGACACCCACTGCCTCCTGCGGAATCTCGGACACTGGGATCAGGGGAGATTCGGGACCGTTCGCGGGGCCTGAGGGATCGTGATCCCCGACCCGGAAGTCACTCACCCGTCCTGACTCTGGTTGGAGCAGGTTCTCTGGAGGAGCAGGTTCTGAAGGCAGGTTTGTATATTCTGTCTGTGCTCCTGTGGGTCCTCAGTGCTCCAGCTCCTTCTACTTGCTCCACTGTCTGTACTCAGGGCTCAATGCACTTGAACTCCATTGTCGCTGGAGGGGGCAGGATGACAGGACATAGCTGTGGCTTAATAGGAAAGCAGAGCGCAAAGTGAGATCTTGCTAGATGAACCTGGAAGGAAGAGTGAGCGAGATTGAATCACCAGGTTTTTATACTTCCCAAACCAAACCACACCTTTAGGCTCTCAGAACCTGAAAGCCACTTCTGAGGACTTGGGACTTTGTCCTGACTCAATAAACCTAGGTCTGTCTCTCTCTCTCTCTCTCTCTCTCTCTCTCTCTCTCTCTCTCTCTCTCTCTCT